CCTTGAATTTTGAGTTTAATAGACTAATAAATCACGTGCGTGCACTCTGTGTGTGTGTGATGTGGTGACTCAAGTAAAGTAGGCCTACAGATACTCCCAAAAAATACTTAAGTACTGTAATGAAGTATTATTACTTCGTTACATTACACCACTGGGAGGAACCCTGGTGAGAAACTCACATCTAAGCTCTGCAACATCTGATTGAAACTAATTGAAGACTTCTTCTGTGGTTCTTATTGAGACCATATTTTCTGATACAATGTTGGTAAGTATATGTAAATAACCTGGACCCAGATCTACTCACTTTTCTACTGCTTAGACAACCAAATTTTTTTTTAACTACTACTATCTTTCCATCTTGTGTATGCAGTATTAATGTTTATGCTCATTTATTTTATTTTTGTGTCAATTCGTAACTACTTGGAAGTGTTTGTATGATTTGAATCACATGAAAAATTCATACAAAATCGCCACTGCATAAAATAGTAGTACTGTGAGATCAGCTTGGATTACATAATTAAAATTATCCTGTACACCTTACGTATATATATTTTTACAAGTACAGATTTCATTTCATGAGTGTACACCAATCAGATGACTCTCCACTCTTCTCAATGTGTAAGATTTTTTAAATGAGAACCAAACTACTGAATGCAGAGATCTCCAAGACCTATGACCTATTGATTGAAGACTTTAATCTTCTGTTAGTATGTATGTGATCTGCATGTGTAGCACACAGCTGTGTATCAATCTTAAGACTGATCGTCTTCACTGAACGATGCCACGGACAGAAGCAATCAGCTGTTACATCTGAAAGCAATTCTAATTTGCGATGGGAAAATCAAAACGAAGCAGGAAACCTTTAGTATGGAAGAGATTCCAGCATGCTTGCTAATCACATACCCTCCTTTGCCCTTTTCCTGCTTTTTGATTATGGCACCATGCCCACCTCATGCCTGCTGCTGGCAAAGGAACGGTTTCCTAGCAATAACTAATGTGCATTAATAATCCAACAGCACAATCAGAAATGTACAATAGCCTCATGCTAACATCTCACGCCATTGTGCTCAGAAATGGGCTGATTGAGAAAGCTGATTTTAGACTGCAGGTCTCAAAATGCCTATACAAATCTCTTTTTGCATGGGTTTCAAGCATGTAAGACAGCTGTATAAAGTCTATTAGAGGCATTGCCAAAAAGATCATACGACTCTATGTGCTTTCTGTTTATCTACATAATCTATTGCACTAGCAATACAAGATTCATAATATCAGATTGGCAATTTTCCCTGAAGAAAAAAACAACAACCTGTCACTGTTTCTACCATGGAATGAAGCAATTGACAAACTCGACTTTGTTTCTCGCAATTCCGAGGTTGCATATGGCAATTCTGAGCTAATACTGTATCTCATAATTTTGACTTTTTTTCTCGCAATTCTGAGAAAAAATTCTGAATTGCAAGATGTAAACTCCAGAATTCTGACTTACTTTATTGCTTTATATCTCGCAATTCTGCGTTTACATCGCACAATTTAGCATTTATATCTAACAATTCTGAGTTTATATCTTGCAATGCAAGAAAATGTCAAAATTGTGAGATAAAAAAATCTATAAAGTAAACAAGAATTGTTATTTTATTTATTTTTTATCTTGTGGCAGAAACAAGCTAGTTCTTTATAAAAAAAAAACATCTCTATTTCATTCTTTAAAATGTATTGTGGCACTGAGGTTAAAAAATTCATTGCTAGACATCACAGTTGGGCATATCTGGCCATCTCCTGAAGATTTATTCTTCTTCTTTTTTTTTTCTCCTTCCCGTCACATGAAGTGCCATAAGCAGTATATGATCTGACATCACATTCATAAGCTGTATCTTGTGCGATCCTGAACAAAGAATAGCTTGGGAGAAGGAGGAAAGCAATCAATGCAAGTGAAAGACACAAGCTGCATACCAAATCATGTACTGGAACAAACAGCAACAGGAGAGTGCTCTTTTTTTCTCTCCAAAACATTAGTGATAGCATAACATGTGAAAAAGCGATAGACAGAAATCAAAAGATTTTTCACAGATGTCTTTTTATTTGTCAAACAAGAGAGCTGTCTATATGTTAGCAATGGCTGTCCTCCTTTGTACACTTCCCTTGAACTAATAGAGTATAATTGGTATGTTTTACCATATAGCACTTGCTTGACACAGTATGAATAAAAAAGAAACATGACTTTATTTTTCTTTTTTGAAACAGCTGACAGCATAAATGCAAAACAAAAATAGTATGTGGCCCACTGGGTCTGTCGACTTTTAACTCTATACATTTTTTTTTTCAAACAATCACTATTCACAGCACATGTAATGGAAATGCTGGACTATCAGACCCACCAATATACATATTTTGCTATTACTATTATTTATTTTTTTTCAAAAATGTGCCTGTGGACCTCATATTTAGATTTTTTTCTTAATACACAGTCACCCTCAAAAGGTCTGTACAAAACTGTTAAATGTGCACACAAGTCATTTGAACAGTGTTAGAGAAGAATTTCACAGACACAAGGAAATGTTAGACAAGAATTACTGATATTATTTCAATATATGTGGATAATCATGATAAACATAGAAACATGATGCCAACATTTATCTTTTAGTTAAAAAATATGGTACTGTATGTGATGTATATGCTGATTGTGGTGTATGATATACGCTGAATTCATGTTCATGTTTTTTTTTGTCACGTTCAAGACTGTACAAATAGTGTTAAACCCCCTCCCCCGTCTCATGTGTTCTTGTATATATATTACATGTATGTCATGAGCCCTGAAAATTTCCAGAAACGTAGCAAATAAAATGATGCAGTGATTCATTTTACAACCAAATGGTGCTCACCTTTGAAATGAATAATTGATTTTGATGATTACCTAACATCTGTATACATGAAAGCTGTTATTTATTGGTGTCTTCATTATATGCAAAGGGGAAAAAAATGAATAATCCCACCATACAATACATTTTTCGTATGTTAATATTCCTTCACATTTTCTAACAAGCACATACAAGTGTGGGATTTCAAAGGGACTTTGCATTCCACCAAAGTTTTTTTAATCATACAAGTGTAAGTACTAAACGATTACATCTATCCTGAGCTTTTTACAATCAAGAAAATAAAAATACAGTAGTACAGTTAATCAATAGGTAAACAGCCTGAAAAACTGAGACATCTGGAAGTTAAAGCAGCACTATGTAACTTTTGGCGCTCTAGCGGTTAATAAACAGAACTGCACACATCCCGCGGAAGAACATTCCAACCGGGGCTACTTCTCTAAGGCTGCGTTTACACTGTAAGTCTTAATGCACAGATCCGATCTTTTGACCATATCCGATTTTTTGGCACGTCTGTTTACATTCACTTTAGACACGACTGGTATCCGATATCTGTGTTTACATTAATTCCCACCCAAAAGGATTGTCTGTAGTGATCGCTTTACTATGCACATGGTACCCTCGGGTTTTAAATGGCCGTGCTATTAAAATTATTTATATAATTCACGTCGAATGGCCATTATTATTTGCCAACATGGACAATGGCTGTCATGGATGTTTTGCTGCACAAAATCTGACTGAACGGATAAAGACCGAAAAATAACGGTCATTTTAATTTGTTAGACTATTTTATCTACAGCTCGTTAGAGGTAGAATTCTTTAGTGAAATAAAGATGATATTTATTGAAATTAATTCAAATTAATTAAGGAGAGATAGAGAGAGAGAGAGAACGAACGAACGCATGCACCCACGTGTGAGTGAGCGATTGTAAAGCATTGCAAACAAGCTTGTCGGTTTAATTACAAAAACTGCTAAGTTATCACCTCATTGCTGAGAAATATATGTAGCTTTTTAGCTTTTGGATTTTCAAAATTCACGGGGCGGTGGTTGAAAACCAGCTCCTGAATGTGCAATTTCTTACCTATAAAAAGTTTCCATCTTAATAAAATGCGAGCGCATACAGCACGCGGCATTAAACATCTTTATGAGCAAACGTGTCGCCCTCGCATTGGGAGTTCTGTGGAGAATCGGATATGTGCGTTTAGACGTAGGTCGAATGTCCAGATAGGCCTATCAGATGTGTATCCGATTCAAATCCACATTTGGAAGTGGCTCAGATCGGATGCAAAAAAATCGGATCTCATGCGGGTTTTTGTGTTTACACGTGTGCAACAAATTCCGATCTGTGTCAGATGTGAGCGAAAGATCGGATTTTTTGTGCCAGTGTAAACGCAGCCTAAGTTTATGTCTATGGCAATTCACGCAGGTATGTGTTACTCCGCAGTGGTGACGACCCGACCAGGCTACAATAGTCCAAATATAACTACTTATTATAAGTGTACCGTAGTGATTCGGAATAAGATAAAAACGCAGTTTGGAAGATGAATTCATGATGCACTTGCTCATTATATACATTTTGCAAATTTTGAACACAGAAAAAGTTACATAGTGCTGCTTTAAACAATATTGTATAGGCTACATAAAAAAAAAACCTTCTAAATAATTAATTTCCAAGAACATTATTTTCTTAAAAATGTATCTGTCATTGTTACAGACTGCCTCTGTAACAACCTACAGGTGAATGTACCTTTACCTAACTTTTCAACAGTTGTCTATGTGTGTGAAATTAGTTAAGATTTGTAGGTGCCTCCAGTTCTATAGTGTTGCCTTTATTATGGCATGTCATCACGTTATGGGCCATGTAACTGTCTAGAAAAGTATAGGAAAACAGATAATAAAAATTTGAAATGATCGATAAAAATGATCTACGAAATGCTTTAATTTGAACGTATACATCTTGTTTTCTTATACTTCTATTCATTTTTGCATCATGCAGTTATTTTACGTTTTACATATAATACAATACCATCATATTTTTTGTCCACACAACAGCGTCAGTGTCAGTTGTGGTATAACTTCAGTCAAGCCTGCTGTTAAAATGAAATTCTAAATAATTAATTTCCAAGAACATTATTTTCTTAAAAATGTATCTGTCATTGTTACAGACTGCCTCTGTAACAACCTACAGGTGAATGTACCTTTACCTAACTTTTCAACAGTTGTCTATGTGTGTGAAATTAGTTAAGATTTGTAGGTGCTTCCAGTTCTATAGTGTTGCCTTTATTATGGCATGTCATCACGTCATGGGCCATGTAACTGTCTAGAAAAGTATAGGAAAACAGATAATAAAAATTTGAAATGATCGATAAAAATTATCTACGAAATGCTTTAATTTGAACGTATACATCTTGTTTTCTTATACTTCTATTCATTTTTGCATCATGCAGTTATTTTACGTTTTACATATAATACAATACCATCATATTTTTTGTCCACACAACAGCGTCAGTGTCAGTTGTGGTATAACTTCAGTCAAGCCTGCTGTTAAAATGAAAGTAGAAAGATATTTTACATATTAAAGTTAGTCTTTTCTGTTATGTGTTTGATTATGGCCAAAAAAGCATTGCATGTCATTTTTTGTTCTGGTTTAAAGTGACACTGTACAGTGGCTTTTGTTCCACTGCGAAAACCACAGTGAAATAGCCCCACCCTCTAATTGGCTTAAAAGAAACAAAAAGGATTTCAATAAGTGGCACAGACCATAAAAGGACAAAAAAGCAGGGCATGAGTGATAACTAAATTCAACCTCTTTAGGAATAAAACATAAAACGAATCATAATATTACAAAAATGGAAAATTCAGATGAGATGAAACCAATTTTAATTGTACATGTTTTACAAGCACAGTTTATATTGAATATGGACCAAAGTGTTGCAAAGGGAAAATGAATAGGGGTCTTCACTCTTCCTCAGTGCATCCCAGTAACTCTGCGCGCAAAGTGATTCTTCCGTACCACGACCATGGAAGAATTCGGATGAATCTGGCATAGATGGGAGGATCGATCACATTCTTTCTGTGGGTGTCATTATCAAAATTTCCTTGAAAGACCTGTTGGAAAGAAAATGAAAGATTCCCAAATCATACAATGATTCATTTGAATAAATAGCAAAAATAGCAGACCTATTTAACCAAATGGAAAACATAAATTGGAATATTTGATAACAAAAAGCTACTATATAATATTTATATATATTCTGCATGACCATAGTCTACATCCCTAATCCTACTCAATAACTAAACTCAACAACTACCTCACTAACTATTAATAAGCAGCAAATTAGGAGTTTATTGAGGTAAAAGTCGTAGTTAATGGTTTGTAATGGTGAGATTTGAACCCTAAAATAAAGTGTGACCATTATTTTTATAGTAGTGAAACTAAATTGATTGAAATATTGTGTTGTCCATAAATCTGAGACTACTAGTGGAGAAAATATAAACTATGTAGTCATTATATATAATTTCAGAACATAGAAAAGAAAAGAAAGAAAAGCAATTTGAAAAAAAAAAAAAAAAAATTGAAATTGTAATTTCTAGCATTTGAGCTGCATGAACTACAATGGTTTGTGTAAAACCTGATGATTTGAGAATGATCTAAAGAGCATCTTAAAGAAAGATAATATTTTTTTGAACATCTTAGCAAACATCTTAAACCTTACCAAGCTAAAACTTTTGAATAGTGTGCTTATTTGATTGCTTACATTAGAAAGAGTTCAGTTTTAACAATCCCAGATTTTCAGTGTGGTCTCAGACTTCACCTCCAGTGACAACTTTCCCAGTCTTTATGTTTGTAATGTATAATGACAGTTAATGTTCAATATTTATGTGTTGGTAATCTTACTTTTGAATAGTGTGCTTATTTGATTGCTTACATTAGAAAGAGTTCAGTTTTAACAATCCCAGATTTTCAGTGTGGTCTCAGACTTCACCTCCAGTGACAACTTATTTGCCCCCAGTCTTTATGTTTGTAATGTATAATGACAGTTAATGTTCAATATTTATGTGTTGGTAATCTGGTTATAGCCATTTCCTCCTTTATATTTCTTTAACTGAAAGAATACAATTATTCTAAAGAATTACTCTCTTTAGAATAACCCTTTAAAGATATCTTTGTACCGGGTTGGTAAATCCAGCATATTATATGTATAGAGTTCTGTGTAATTCATAGCAGGTATGTCCTTGCTGTTATTAATTAATTTTAGAGTTCATTTACAAAACTTAGAAAAAAACATAGTCAAAACATGCACCAAAAAGCTCTGGTTTAACGAGAACTGGACTTTAAAATAAAGTGTGACCTATGCTAACTGTATGTGATGTATATGCTGTATACTGTACATCACATACAGTAGCGGGTGGAGCTACAAATGAACTAGAAGAACTCTTTAACACTACATGTACATTGCATACATCACTGGTCAGTATGATTATTTTTTTTAAAGAAATAAATACTTTTTTTCAGCAAGGACACTATAAATTGATCAAAAGTAACAGTTAAAGAAACAGAACAATTAAGCAGAATGACTGTTTTCAATATTGCTAATGATGACAAATGACTCTTGTGCAGCAAATCAGCATATTGGAATGATTTTTGAAAGATCATGTGACACTGAAGACTAGAGAAATGGCTGCTGAACATTTAGCTCTGCATCACAGGAATACATTACTTTTTAAAATATATTCAACATAGAAAACAGTTATTTTAAATTGTAAGAATATTTCACAATATTACTGTTTTTACTCTATATAAAGAAATCTTGGAGAAATAGATTTCGGTATTGTGTACTGACCACATCCGATCCACAATTTTGTCTTAATATGTTTTATATTTTTTACTTAGGATGTAATTGTGAACACTCACTGGCAACCAAATTGGAGCTACTGAAAGTTTTCATTTCAGCTCACAGGCTGCTAATTTAAGTTTAAAAGAAATATAGACTAATTCACTGTAAACACTCAAGTCAGTTATTTCATTTGCTCTTGATGCAATCAGCTTGACTTTGTATTTCCTGCAGCAGACGTATACAAACACACTGACCTATCAATCAAATAGTGAGCATTTACAATACAGAGTCAGAGAAAGGAAGTACAGTTCATGATTTATGAATAACCCTTGAGTGCGCTGATGCTGACGGCAAACAGAGCTCGAGTATGCTCGGTGTAAAGAGTTCAGAGATGGGGAAAATTCAGCAAGCAACAAAGAGGTTGGCTGGGAACTAAGTCTTCAAGTGGGCTTCAAAGACAAATTTTGCTGAGCTCCCCGAGCTCTGACAGCGCATATTCATCAGCAGAGAGTAAACAATAAGAGTACAGAGATCCTGTGTGTCTAATTGCTGGTGTCACAAGCATTACATAAATGTGTGACATATTCCCTCCCTCTCTCTCTCCTTCCACACTGAATCAGCGTTCCCTTCTGCACCATGGAACCAATTTTGTGTTTTGCAACTCGACTCTCTCCAATGTACTTCGAGGCAGAGCGGGGGGAAATGTCATAAAAAATTGATTAGTCAAAAGGGCAGCTCAAAACATGAACTCATTCGCTGAACTTCTCATCTGATGGCCTGCGTGTTTGCAGGGAATCTACGTGCACAGGAAAGTCTTTCAATGTCAAGTATTTCCCACCATGGCTTTAATAATGATAAAGTCTGCGTACTTCGGCTGTGATTGTCCATAGACAGTACGGTGGGAAATAGAGATTTATTAGGCTGCTCTTATGTCTTTCATTAACATTCTATAACCCTGAAGACACCTCAGGCACCTGTGTGATTCCAGTATGGGCAATTACAGTGCAGGACATGCAAAATCAAACATGAGTGTATGTGCAGCCAGTACAATCTTTTAGTAGCATGAGGGTATTTTTCAGTCTTTTTTTGTGAGAGAGTTAATATGCAAATATAAATCAAATGGTTCACAACCAGTCCATCAGAGCTGTTTCTATTCACCAATTAATTTGAGGCCTTGTACAGAAGTCACTATGAGAAGTCATCCTGTTTTAGATCCTCATTATTTGTGTTTATAAAAATAAATGGTAATGGTAACTTGACTGCTATTTAACAACTTTAAATTATAAATATCTTGAGAAGTTACACAAATAGTGTCGGTATGTTTTTGGTACAGTGAGAGAATTTTTTTAAAATTATTTTCTTTCTTTCGAAATGGGGAAATTATTTGAAATGCTTCTACTTTTGAATGCACTATTTGAGCAAAATTGGTATTTAAGTCAGAATTATTGTGCTCCCGTTTTATTGCGCTTCATCTATTAGACATGCATGCATGCGCTCCAGAACTCATTCTTTAAGTTTAACTTGTTTGCTGTCAGGATGATTCTTAATGCAAAATGGAAATACAGACATGACTTTCTAACATTTAAAGATAAGGATTTAACCATAAAATATAAGTTATGCACGGAGGAAAACAGGTTTCAAATGCATTATGCAGCACACGTATCTGACACACAAGTGCAGTGGTTAAAACAATGCTGTGTTCATTTGGTACACATATGTGTCAAACCAAAAGACCTGTACAGAACATTTTTGGTATGAATATGTGTACCATTACACCCCTAAGCTGTAAGGACTGAACTTAACTCTTAAACTGATTGGTAATAAGTCACAATACAGTGTCCACGATACAAATATTATACATTCATATAAATAATAATAATAATGTATAAGCTGTTACATTTAAAGATAAATGTAAACTGACTGCAGGACACTGTAATGTTAAGTTGCCCCTCACGGACGACTGTCGCGCACAAACAAATCCAAAACACAAAATAAAATCCAAGCCTGGTCCTTTCTCGTCCAACACTGTCATCACTCCTCCTTTTATCCTTCCAGAGCTCTTCCGTGGGACTCGAGACCGGTGAGTGGCGCAGGTGTCGTGCATTAGCATTTACTCCACCGGCCTCACTCCGTTCCCACGGCTCTCGGCCCCGCCCCTCTCGTCACATCATCATTAAATGGAAGTAGTATCTTTTGATCTGTATTATAATGGACATCCAAGGGTAATAGCTTATTGAAAATCTAGAATCACATTATGATTTAAAAAAAAAAACATTTAATTATAAGTTCTCTAAAATTAAAATGAACACGATTCACTGGGTAAGTTTAATTACTTGAACAACAGATATTGTTGCTATTCTACTGGTAAAAGCTGCTAAATAAAAACAGACTCACAGAGGTGTAATGTAGTGCACATCTCTTTTATGGTACTTATCCATTTCAGTCTTTCACGCAACAGTGAACACTAAAACTCCAGTGAACGCTTTTGCTTTCTGTGACCGTAACCAAATGAGACATCTCACTCTTCTGATGTACCCTCCGAAGAAATGATGGAAACAAGTCACTCTCAATTACCTTCTCTCCCTGCGCACCCAAGAACATTTGGAACGATTATGCATAAAAGCTGCAAAGAAAACAAATCCATCTCTAAGACATCCCATAAATCTGCGCCTGGTGTTTACTGCTTAATCTAATCCCTGCACTGCTCCGCTCATCACCGCAAAGCCGTGGAACGGAAAGTTGTCTTTAGAGCACTGAATGAGTGCTACGGCATGCAGGAACAAATGGAGAATTATCAAAGTTGGTGCATCAGGTATAGCAGATATTCTATTTAGAGATGAGGGCTTTTGGAGTTCGATCACAAGGGGAGGGCACTTTATCACTTCATAGCCTCTTCACGCTGCAAGACTGCTCAATTCATAAACACGTCCTTTGAAGTGGGTTTTTCATATGGAGCTGAATCAGTGTAAAAATCCCTCGAGTGATGCTCAAAGTGGAAAGGCAATCTCTAGTCCTTTTGCAGCATGGCAAAACAAGGTTGTCTGTAGAGAGATCTGCATATTACATTTGAGCATGAACTGATTCCAAATCTGACTGACAGATCAACAGACACTGAGATGATATATAGATAGATAGATAGATAGATAGATAGATAGATAGACAGCATGATCTTTTGCATTCAGCCAATATATTACATAGACAGCTAACAGCTAAATCATTAAACACCCAAGCACCTTTCTACCTTTCTGAAATGATCTCTACTCAAACAGG